TGATGCAAATTATGGACTAATTGTGTGTCAAATGAATGCAAAGACAAACCATTGATGGCTTTATTTGAGTGACCAGTGATTGGTTTGCGACGAATGACTGTCACCTCATCTCTTCCAATGATACCGAACATGCAAAACACACACAAAAAGCGATTGTTTTTGAACACCAAAATTGATTATATATTCTGTGAACAGAATTGTGAGAAACACACAAAACAGACATACAATTCATTGAATCGATGAATGCATTGATTTGAATGAATGAATGGGATGTTGTGTTTACTGGGCTAACCGGCCCACCCATCCATCCAGTGGTCACACAAGCATTTTAGGACTAATAAAATGTTATCAATTGTTGTTTTGACCATAAAATGCCTCTTTTGAAGACTTTATTACGAGTTTTGTGTGTGTTTTGGCTGTGGTTTGAGTGGACATCCCATTGGACGGCCATTAGAAGACTGTGGATTCAAATCCATTGAAAAGTCGATTGAATTGAAACACAGTTTTGACAACTCATCGAATCGTTAATTAAAATAATTGTAAATTAATTACAAGTAATTTGTTGCTCATTAAACCACCACTACATCCCATACCATACCTATCAGTCCTTTAATTACTTTATATTTTAGATATTAATTGACACACAAATGAAGTGCTTTTATGTGATTATTATATTCGTTAAGAATGAGACTAAAATAGATATTATTATCAAATTAATTGATTATAAAAATAGTTTTGAATTAATACTATAGTCGGAGACAGAAAATGTTTTATTAAATGAATTGTACTTTTAATTCAATTTTTATGCCAATAAGCCATGTTTTAGTTAAAATATAATACATTCAATGCTTTTAATACCCAATGTTTTTTAGTCAGGATTTTGAATCAGTTTTTGTCAACTTTTCTGAAGACTTTGTTAAAAGCATTGGTTTTTAAAATGTATTTCTCTCTCCTATTCTCTCACTTGTAATTGATTTCTATAAGAATTTTCATTAAAACAAACATTTCATTACATTTCATGCTAATTGAATTGAATTTATTATTCATTAAAACTTTTGATAATTAGATTAATATGCGTAAAGGGGTCGACACTTATGGTATGATTATTGTGGGGCAGTTGGAGTCAAAATATATTAGTAATTAAGCATATTTTAGATTTTGTGTCCTGGATCAGTTGTGGCTATTTGTCCTTCAAATGGTTGCCATCGAAACTGTTTCTCCTCTGCCTCCTCGGCCTCCTTCAGCACCCGTTCCCTCTCAGCCATCATCTTCTTGTAGTCCTCTTCCGACACTTCTTTCCACTTCGACGGCCCCTTAGATTCAATGTCTTGGGATCTAATAGAGTGACAAATGATGCAAATTATGGACTAATTGTGTGTCAAATGAATGCAAAGACAAACCATTGATGGCTTTATTTGAGTGACCAGTGATTGGTTTGCGACGAATGACTGTCACCTCATCTCTTCCAATGATACCGACGGGAAGGTAGTCGTCGACCACAATGTCATCGATCATCAGATCCCAGTCGTAATCGATGGCCAACTTGTTTTGGATGCGAGTCTTCAGGCCTTTGATGTCACTGTCTTTGGACTCAATGGCGAAGAACTTCGTGGGCTTCGGGTGACAGTCACTGCCCGTCACATCGAAAGCCATCTTAAAGCGCTTTACCGGCGATGAAGTGGAAGACATTGTTGACAAGCAATGGATAATTACCACAAGATTTAAGACAAACACTTGTTTTGCTTTCAATTCATACGACTTTTGAGTGAATTTCTGAAGTTTTTATAGATTTAAAGATTGACTGAAAAATAACTTTTATTAAATTTTAGATGGATTACAGTGATTAATATTAACCAAGGTTAGATTCTAAAGTAACTGCATGAACAACTCATTATAATAATAGTGTATTAAATATTATTATTACAAATAAATTAAATGTGAGAAAATATCTATAAGAAGTTGAGACCTTGTTTAGTTATTGTTGAGTGTATGCAGTGAACGATTAGAGCATTATTTCAAATATACTCATTATTTCGTATAAAACGTTTGCTTCAGTTTGTCATCCATTGACTCACTAAAAGATTATCATTAATTGCATCAATTAGTGAATCAAACATTTCAATTGACAGAATTGCTATAATTATGACAATTACTAAAAATGTCGACAAAATCTCTAATAATCATAATATTGGATGAGTCGGGAAGTATGCACTCAAAGAGGGCCCACGTTTTGGGAGGTTTTAATCACTTGATTAGAGACCAAAAGTCGGGGCAAAGTAGTGATCGCACGACACTAACACGAGTTAAGTTCAATACTCTGGTGTCTGTCGTCCACAACGGCGTCCCATTGCAAGACATTCCTGAACTTCACTTAAACACATACACCCCGGGAGGCGGGACAGCCCTCTTTGATGCCATTGCAGAGGCCGTACGACTGGCCGATAGGGATAAGGCGTCGGACGAGAGGGTGGTCTGTGTTGTGATCACTGATGGAGAAGAGAACTCATCCAAAGAGACGACTCAACAACAGATGAAGGATATAATTACGGGACACGAGTCGAGAGGCGACTGGACTTTCGTATACATCCCGAGCGATGGGCCCGACGGAGCGGTACGCCTATCGGGAATGTCATGCAATACGACCACATTATGACCCCTTTTATGGACAGTCCTCACCCCTCTTCTCATTCAATCTTCACTGACAACTAATTGTGTCACAAATGATCGTAAAACACAAGTATATCGTGAAAGCAAACAGTTTTTCATTTATTATATATTTGTTGACTAATTAATATAATTCTCAACTATATTTTTGTTAACAAATTAAATGCAATTATAATTTACTTTTAGTTTGACGTTCAGATAATTATACAAATCGTCATTAAATATAGAGATTTAAAAAATTACTTCAATTAAAGTTAAATAAAATAAATTTTAAAAATTATGTCTAAGTATTTTATGATTAAGTAATACAATAATCCATTCAAACAGCGATCACTGAGTGTCCGGGTCTTTACGTTTAGCCCAATGAAGTGCGAATGAGTCGACGGCCTATCTGTTGGCCATTCATAGTCGCGATGGCGTTCTCGGCGTCCATTCGATGGCCGTACGACACGAACGCCTGTCCCCTCGACGCACCTGTCCTCTCATTCCTGTCCACACGACAGCTCACAATCTCACCGAACATAGCGAACACATCCCGGAGCTGGCGTTCGTCCACATCTGGGGTCAGGTTTGCCACATATATGTGATAAATGCCCGCAG